CGGCTCTCGCAGGGCTCTTCCCAGGGTCGGGCTCCTCACCCACGTCACTGTCAGCCTCCTCCTGGGGGCTGTCCTGCAACGCCTGGCTGTCCACACCAGTCTCAGGGTGCAGCCCCAGCACCGTGGGACCCGGGGGGACCTCGGGGCCCTCCTCACAGGGGAAGCTCTCACAGGTTATACTGGAGGACGGGCTGTCAATCCCGCTGTCCCGGTTGGGGATCTTCATGATGCTTCTGGGCTCCCCCAAGGGGCAGGTGTCTGGAGCCGGACTGTCAGGATCCCCTGGGTGGGTGCCGGTTCCAATAGGAAGCTCTCGAAGCTTCCCCAGGGAGGAGCTGCCAGGCCCGGCATTGGTGACGGCTTCTGGGGACACTGAGGATCCCTCACCTGATTCCATCCTTGAAGCAGAACGCAGTGGGCTCTGTGGGAAGCTGCCAGGGAGAAATGAACCCAGCTCAGGGGAGCCCCTGAAAGCAGCCCCAAGACAAAGTCAGGCAGGGCTGCATCCGCACCCGGGGGACTTCCGCGGGGTCCTGTCTGGATAGGCTGTCTGAGAACGGCACACGGAAAACGTGTTATTTTAAAGTCATGTTCTTCTACATGAAGAAAACAAAGTCGTTCTCCAGTGTAGCTGTGGAGTTCCTGTGGGATGAGGCCATCCAATGCTCAGTAAGTTCAAAACAACCGCGGCCAGAGCACAAGCACAGCAGCTTCCATTCATAACGCACTTTTGTGTCCATAGTATTTTGGGAACTGATGATACTCCCAGAAGATGGGGCTGGGGTCCCCAGCGCCTTCACCTCCTCCCCCTGGCCATTACCATCACCTGCTGCGCAGTGGGAGCAACCTGCCCAGCCCTGACCTCCCACTGCCTCCCAGCGGGAGGGCCAGGTGAGAGGTGGGAAGGTGGGTCTTGCCCCAGGATATGGGCTCAGGCCTTTGCCTCGGGTGATGGTCACTTACCTCTTAGCTAATGCCACTGAGGTTTGACAGGTGAGTGTCTGCTTCCTGCTGGTTGTGGGGCTGGCCTTCAGAGGCTGGACGATTTGATGGAAATCTCCTGCCTAGCAGGTTTGAACTGGAGCCATTTGGGACCTACTGGAAAAGCAGCAGAGGAGGATGGAAACCGTCTCCTCCAGCTGGCACGTGGAGCAGCCCCAAGACCCAGTTCTACAAGCATGGGGTGGAGAAGGGCAGCTCAGGCCCCTCCCAGAGCAGCAGAGCCCCAGGCAGGGCACAAGGGTCTTCGGGATGGACGCAGGACATGGCAAAGCCCATCCTTGACCTCTAGGGCCACACGCATTGCAGAGAAGGGCAGGGTGGCACAGCGGCCACACCCCATGCGTGGGCAGTGCCCTGCAACCAGGAAGGACAGATCACCTGAAATATGCAGGAAGTGCCCAGAATGAGGAGAGCCAAGGGCACCACCTGGCCTCTCCCCAGCCCACACCCCTACCTCACCTGGACACCCTCCGGGACACAGGTATATAGCCATTCCCCTGTACACTCACACACACACACACACACACACACACACACTCTCTCTCTCACACTCACAAAGTAGCTCCTATACTCCCACTGACACGCACACAGTAGCTACCTTGATCACAAACACATTCACACAGTAACGCGCACACACACGTTTCCTCTCTCACATGCCCACATTGACTCACAGACTCACATACACTCACACTCAGATAGTCTTCTTCCAGAAGCTTCTTTATGTGCTTCCTCCCTCACTGCTAAGCACAATAAATGGTGACCAGTGCAGAAACTGGCTCCTCCGGGTACCGGCTGTCTTCCCTGAGCTGGCACCTGGTGGCCTCACCTCCCAGAGAGCACAGCACACAGCCCACTGCGGGACCAGCTCCTGCGGGCGTCCCCTGTGACTTTAGGAGCCAATGGGTGCCTGCAAAGCTCCTCCCCACCCACACAAGCTCCTGTGGGTAAGGCTACCTCTGAGTGGACCTTTCTTCAAGCAACTTCAGGTGGACATTTGTCATTGGCTACTGCCACATTCTGAGCTAGCTCAATGGACAGAAATATTAAGATTTCCCAACAGAAAATACGTGTTTTGCTGCATTCTTCTCATAGCATGGGAGATAAACTCAAGTTTCCAGAAGTCAGACATGACACTGAGATAAAAGTACACGGATGGAATGTGGGCTGTGCTCAGCCCGCGTGTCCAAGAGGCAGCTGTCTGGCAGGGCAGAGTCTGGTTCAACCCCAACTCCGAGGAGTTTTGCTTCTGATCAAGGTGGAACCACAGAAACCAGATTTATTCTCACCTGAAACAGCAGGCCATGAACAAGACTCTGTAAGCCAGTCAGCAAAGCCCCGTGACCCCCGAGAGGAGGGATCAAATGGGACAAGCCTCCCTGTTGCTCCCACTCACTGTCTGCAGACCGTGCTGGGCCCAGGAGTGGGGACGGGAATTCTCCAAGTTGAGAAGACAGAGCTGGGAGTCTGGGAGACCAAGGTGACTGGGGCTTACAGAACAGAGCCCTGGAGAGGAGAGAGCCACACAGAGAAAGACCTGGAGATGTGAAGGGGTCCCTCAAGGACTGTTCAGCATGTCGATGTGAGGAAACAAGAGAGGCTGGAGAAAGAATGGCCTGGAAAGATCAGAGGGAACATTCCCCGGAGCTCACACAGGGCAAAGCAATCCCTCTTCCTACCAGCCCGTCCTGAAAGTCCAAGGTTGACGCACAGGCTCACATACCCTCACACTCAGAGATTCTTCTTCCAGGGCATCAGGGCCAGAACTCAGGAGGGACATGCCCTAAGAGTGGGGGTTAACCCTACAGTACCCATTGTTCTGATCTCACCTACAAATCTTAACAGGAAGGCCAAGCTGTTCACAACTTAGCTGCAGCCCTGAAGAGAGCTCAAAAATACTCAAATAATTTAAAAACAAAACAAAACCCAGCTCCCAGCAAAAGAAGTCACAATGTCTAGAATCCAATCAATAATCACTAGACACACAAAGAGACTATACAACCCCTAATAAGGGGAAAAAAAAAAAAACTCCATCCATCGAAACTGACCATAACAGACACAGATGTTGGAGATAGCAGACAGGAACATAAAGACATGGATTCTGTCTGTATTTGAATGATGGTGACAGAGTGGTCACTGCAAGTCCCTGTGATCCTGCTCAGCTTTTCCTGACTTGGTTTGGTGGCTTTACATTTAAACCCCAGCAAGACCATGTCAGCAGTGAGCAAGGCACAGGGTGCCCTGACCACACAGGTAAGAAGATTGATTGGGGGCCAGCCAAATCAACACCGCCCCCTGGCCTGGAGGTGCCCAGAAGCACTGAATACTCACCTCGGGGTCTCGGCCTGGGAAGTGCTTGAGTCGTCACTGATGAAACTAAGGTTGTCTGTCCTCACTGCTGAGAACACAGCGGAGTGCCTCATGCCTTGGAATTGGGGTGAGGGTCAGAACAGGAAAGAGGTACCGGGGCAAGCTGGGTGGAGAGAAAAGGAGACAAAGGTGTATCTGCCTCTGTTCAGATGCCTCGGTCAGATACTCGCAAATCCAGGTCACACTACCACCTCTAAAAGTGACTTGTACTGTTTAAAACTGGGTGAGTCTGCTCTAGTTTGGATTTTAAATCTCTCTGAAGTGTCCGTGGGCTAAAGGCTTGGTCACCAGCCTGTGGTGCTACTGGGAGGTGGTAGAAGCTTCTGGAGGCAGGGTAGGAGTTAGCTCACTGGGAGTCTGTCCTGGAAGGGGATATTGGGATCCCAGCCTTTTCTAGTCTCTCTTTTTAATTTCTGGCTGCCTTGAAATGAATAGGCCTCCTCCACTAATGTACTGTGCCACCATTGACCCAAAGCAATAAGGCCAAGTGACCATGGACTGAAACCTTGCAAACCATGAGCCCAGAAAAACCTTTCCCCCTTGTAAGTTGATTTATCTCAGGAATTTGTTACAGCAATGAAAAGCTGACTAACACAAATGGATAAGCAAAATGCAGACTATCCATACAATGGTATGGTATTCAGACTTAAGGAAGAAGGCTGGACATATGCGACAACACGGATGAGTCTTGAGGTCATTATTCTGACTGAAGTAAGCCAGACACACAAGGACAAATTATTTTTATTAGTAGTAGTAGTATAATTATTAGTAGTATTATTCTACTAATCTGAGCTTATGTGGGAAGGGAGGAGCTTTGCAGGTACCCATTGGCTCCTATAGCCATAGGGGACACCGCTGGAGCTGGCCCCACACTGGGCTGTGTGCTGTGCTCTCTGATTTTTTGGGGAGTTCACTTTCCTGGGACCAAGGACACCTCATTGGGTGACAAATCCAGAGGGAGAAGGAAGGGGAGGAATAGAGAGCCCTGCCCATTCAGGAGGGTCAGTCAAGCTCACCAGAGGCTCCAGGCAACCCCAGCCTCATAGATGGTCCTGCCTGGACTTTCCCCTGCTCTGACCCCAGGCCCATCTTCTGGGCTCTCCCTGGGGACATGACAGCCCCTCATCCCCCCGCCCATGCTGAATGTGGCATGGCCAACCTCAATACATTGTTTCATCTTGAAGGCAACATAACGATTATTGGCCCCAGGACTTTGCATCTAGCATAACCCTGTTTCTACCCTTTACTGTCCAGACAACCAGGTTCAAACTCAGTGTCTCCCAGCTTTAGTCTCCTAGAGCATCTCCAGGCCTCTGTCATAAGCAGAGGCTGAAAGTTCTAGTCAACTGCAGCAGAACGTGGTAAAATCATGCAGCTGGTCCAGAAATAATGATTTTTGTCTGAGGTTGGAAGAGCAGAAACTCAGAGATAGTAAGCCCAGGAATGCATGGGGGTCAACACACGGAAATGTAGCAAAAAGTTCTAGCATACCACTGTCAGGGCCCCCTGTCACACAGGGTTGCTGTGTCCAGGAAACCAAAAGCAGTACCATTTTTACTTATATGTTTACTCAGTACTTTTTGTTTGGTTTCTATTTTTATTTTCTCTTTAAATTTTCTACTTTATTTACACTTTATATTTATTTCCTATATTTAGTCTCTATTTTGATTTCTTTCATTGAGAAGGAACATAAATACCAACATTACAACCATGAATGAAATATTACTGTTCATTATCATACATTAAAAAAAATGAGAAAAATGAAGATTCAGCCTTTAAAATAGAATAAGATTCCTTCCCTGTATGAGTAGCTAGATGTATGATAAAGAAAGTAGAATCTCAGGATGGGCACACAGCTATTCCCTACAAAATTATTTGAGGGAATGTATTTGGCTATATATTTGAAATTTTTCATAGTAAATATTGGAGCAAACAATTTACCCTGAAGCCCCCAAGATCCTTGATCCCCCTCGTGAGGGAGGAGAGATTCTGAATTTCATTCTTTCCATACATTCAGGCAGCTTCTCCCAATGAACACTCTGGGCTCCGGACATCATTCTACTTGTGATAATGCTTGATATTTCCCATTTTAAAAAAGTAAATGAATAATCCCAGCAACTCAGGAGGCTGAGGCATGAGGATCTTAAGTTCAAAACCAGCCTCAGCAACTTAGAGAGGCCTTAAGCAACTTATGAGACCCTGTCTCAAAATAAAAAAAATAAAAAGGGCTGGGGATGTAGCTCAGTGGTAAAGCATCCCTGGGTTTATTCTTTTTTATCAAAAAAAAAAAAAAAGTAAATGAAACAAGACAAAAAAACAAGAACTTCTTTGGCAGCCTCCAAGCTAAACCAAAATTCTCAACATATGTGTCCCCTTTGACCTCTCCTTCCACCCCCATCCCATGCATCGTACCACTTCAAGGACCAGCACCCCTCACTCCCTGTTTTATTCAGCTCTCTGCTCCCGACAGGCCCTCCCTAGAGAAGACACCCTCCACCCTCACCTGTCCTGCTCTCCCGCAGAGCATCTCTTTCCCCCACTCTTGCCCCTCGTCATCCTCCTCCCTCTCGGGACGTAAGTGACGTAGGAAGAGCCTTATCTCCTTCGTGCAGCCCTAGGCCTGGTACGCAGGACTCCATATTTTGGGGGGAATAAATAAATGCATTAATTTGAACTGGCAGAGCAAGCAGTTTTTATATCCCCTCTAAAATATTCTTTCCCTTAAACAAAAATAGTGTTTTGACTGAGTCCACATCTTAAAGTAACAAAATCCAAGTTGAGATCCCGAAAGGCCTCATTCCACCTCAGAGCAGTCCTGGCTAGGTCAGGCCATCACATCATCTGATCCAAACACACAGTGACCCGTCAGGCCACAGAGAGGGAGTCCAGATGGCCAATTCCCCCCTCCCAGTCCCAGGTGTGACTTGTAAGAACTAAATGTGGAAAACCCCCCTCCACAACAGAACCTGCATAGATTTAAAAGGTCCATCATCAGACAAAATATGGGGTCTAATTGACTAGACCCCCCAACTTCACAGGATGTAAGTGATCGGGTCACCCCACTTCACAGATCCCAGAGTCCAATTGTCCCTCACTGGACAGGCAAGGGGGAGAGCATTGCAGACAGCAGGGAAGGCAGGAAGACTGAGCAAGCCAGGGGATGTGGGGCTGCAGTTGCGGTGTTGGAGTGGGGCAAAGAGGAAGGGGAAGGGGCAGAGACGGGTGGGGCCAGGACGGCTCTTGACAGCCAGCCACCACGAGGCAACCCAGTTGGTAAGATGAGTTCCATTCTGATTTTTTTTAAAGATTGTAGGATGCAAGGAGGATCCATTTGTGGGGGCCTGGAAGCCACACCGACAGTCGGTTGATGGTTATGGAGGATACTGTCCTAGCACCTGAGTCAGGGAACCCAAGGAAGAGCAGGGCATAGTTAGGCCAAGTATCCCCCTCTGCAGAGCAGGAGGTGCCGTGTGCACAGGGTCATGTCACCAGACTGCAGTAGGCTTGTCCCCAGACTGTCATGTGGCTGTCCCCATTTCACACAGGGTCTTTTCCCACCCTCTTCTTCGCTACCAGCAAAGACACATCCATGGTTGGCAGTGGCCCATTTCCCCCACTGGACACTGACTCCCTCGTCACCTACCAGGACCCAGAAATATCTGCAGAACGGAGGATCCAGTGACCCGAGGAAGATGATGGCAGTGAATGAAGGGCCCCTCATCTCTTGTCTCCTTCCTGGGCTGGCGTGGCCCCTGCTCACTGCCAGTCACCCTGTGCAGGGACAGGCAGGGACAGGCTGTCTCTGCAGTGGCCGGCTCTGGGCTTTCTTTTGTCCTTGTTCATTGTTTGTGACACACGCTCATATCCCTGAGCCTCCTTGTAGCTGCAGAACACTCCACAAACCCTGTCTCCTCTGGGTTTCACATCTGCCCAGTGCTGTCCTGGACTCCTTCGGCCGCTCCTTTTACTATGGAGCCTCAGTTTCCCCTTCTGTAAATGGGGATCGTGATAGGCCCACCTGGGGCAGGTAGGGAGAGGTGCTGTGGGAGCTCCAAGCGTAGGTTCAGAGATTCCTGAGGTTATCATTCTAGCCCATGAGCCACTCTTTAGAGCACGGGGCGGGAAAGCCAGACACAACCTTACGCCCTCCCACTGCGAGGAGGCCTCTCAGAACAAGGCTACTTCGGCTCTAACCTCAAAGAACAACATGCTCCAGGCCTCTGTGTGCAAAGGTCACAGTCCAGTGTGGTTCTGAGAGGCCTTTCACCTTGAGAGGTGCTGGGTCTCTGTGCAGAGGCGCCAGTCCCCTTGAAGAGCGGAACCTGGGCCTCAGCCCTGGTAACAGCCCATCTGGGACAAACCACTTCCTCCCCTCCACACTGCGGCCAGCCCCACCCAGCCCCCAGGCTGCTGAATGTGTTGTCCTCTCTGAAAATTTGTGTGGGGACCCAGACAGTCAACTCAGAGACTGGGGGGCCTGGGGACAAGCTGTCAGAGTGCTCTGTCTCCATTTCCTCTTTTGTTAAAAAGGCTTCCCACACACCCTCTGGGTGCTGGGAAGGGCCACTCTGAATAGCCTCAGAGCTGCTCCCATCTTGAACCTCAATGAACCAGTGGAATTCAGATTCCACTTAAGAGACAAGGAAATGGAAGCAGAGTGGGATTTGCCCCAAGTCACAGTGCGAGAGAGAAGGCTCTGGTGGAGTTTCTTATCCCTGCCGTTGCCCTGGGCCTGGCTCCCAGACGCTCATTCCCCCACAGCACTTACCAACCTCAAGAAAAATGGAAATGATATGGACGTCTCCAATAATAAGGACCCCGCTCTGCAAGCTCCATAGATCCCAGAGGCCAGTGATCCCCATCCCGGAAGTTGCCCGGGACCCTTCCTTAGGCATTGTTGTCCTCTCTGCACCATGTGAACAAGTACTGTGCCACCAAGTTGGGCTGCTGCTGCTGCTGCTGCTGCTATGCCTCTACCCTTGAGCTGCCCGCCTCTAAGGTGGCATCCCCAATGCCCCAGGCTGCCCAGGCCCAGCTACGGGTCCCCAGGAGGCCTTGGTGGACTCAGTCCTCCTTCCTGGTAGAGCCTCCTAGAAGAGCCATGTCTGTTAATGTCTAAACTATGAACTTCAGAGGAAGCTTCTGGAGCCACATTGAATAGGAAGGCCTGCATCTGGGACTGCCTTCCCAGGCTTTGCCCCCAGGCCTGGGTGACACAAGAGGCACCTAGGCTGTGGTCCCACTGCCTGAGGCACCACTCAGCACCACGGAGTAGCTTCCTGCCTTGGAAACATCCGCCTCCCTCCAATGGTTCTTACTTTGCTCCAAATGCCTCCACCACCCCAAAGTCTCCCTCACAAAACCAGACAGTCTTAGGGCTCAGCGAAGATCCCCGGAGCCAGTGCCCACTCACCACTCGCTATTCTCCCAGGCAAGCGTCTCTTCCTCTCGGGCTGAACTTCACGTAGTAGCAAAGCACGACTTCCTCTTTCTAATTTTCACAACACAGGGTCACAAAATGATGGCGTATTTGCATTTCCGTATCATTATGCAGCAGGAGAAGAGCTGGGCTTGGTGGTTCTGGAGAGCCCTCTTTGCTGGGTGGTGGGGGCGCCATCCTCAGCCACAGCTGCACCCACCCACTGGTTAAAATGTAACAGGCTGCTGTGAGGGGCCCTAAGTGTTCTGGGCAAGGACCACCACCACTCTCCTGCCTCTGCCTTTGCAGCCACAGATGTCTCTGGGGAGGAGGAGCCCAGCAGGGTTGGCCCAGAAGCCCTGGCAGAGCCTTCTTAGAGCTTTATGGGTGGAAAAAATGAAATGGCCACAGAAGATTGGAAAATAGGGAAGCCCCGCTTCAGACAGCTTATTTTAAGGAGCTATCAGGGGACCTAGACAGAGCCCCTCACTAGACCCCAAGAGGCTCCCTTGTTGTCTTAGGGAGAAAGTCGATGGAAAATAAAACAGGGGTGCTGAAAGACTTAGACTGCAAAGTCTGACCCGGTTGTACTCATGCCCTGTTCATGCAGCTCTAAATTCTTTTTTTTTTTTAAGCAATTTCCCTGGGTCTTAGTCTCCTTATTGTCAGATGGGGGTGATCACATAGGCCCTTTCAGGGGTATTGGGAGGGGCGTCACCATGAGCTACCAACCTCAGTGCACCTGTGGCAGCACCTTGTACCAGGGAAATGTCATGTGGGTGTGTGACAAATAAAACCAAGCTACAACCACAGAAGGCATAAAGGGACCTGTGAAAGGGGTGATGTCTGCAATCCATAGTGACTTCCTGGAACATTTCAACAGAGTGTGAAATAGAGGGGTGCTTCGTGAGTTCCCCAACGATGTCCACTGTGGCTGGAAACGGGGTCTCATACCCACAACTCAACTCCTCCAAATGTTTGCTGGTATTTTTGTTTGGATGAGGATGCTGGGAGATGCCACCCATTTCACTCTCTCAGGCCATCTTCCTCTTAACCCCAGAGAATTGGAAGAATGCTCTAGAGATGCACGATGGAGCATGCATTCATTCCCCTCAACAAGTCCCCAGGTTCTGTCTGACTCTGCTGGGCCCCCATCTGAGGATACAGAGCTGCGGTGACCAGCAGCAATAGGCCCAGGTGGCCGGAGAATCTCAAAGGCTCAAGCCCTGGCTCACAGGTGGCATGGCCTTTTGTACCTCCGAGCCTCACTTCTTCCTTTATAATATGGGCCAAACACAAGACATCTGTGTTGGAACTGTAGTGAGGAATGACAACCGGGCCCATGGCATTCTTTGACAGGTGCTCAAGGAATCTCAGCAGTTGTCATTTGAGTCACCATTGCTGAAATCCCCAGTGTCCAGGCCCTGAAGCCTTAGCTTCCATGCCCCAAGGGGACAACCCCCACACCAGGATGCAGCCCTGGACCATCCAGACACTTCCAACCAAGCCAGGAAGGATAGCGTCTGCCACCACTGCTCAGTACAGCTGCCCTCTGCTGAGATATCCCAAGCCAGGAGGCTGGTGGTGGGATCGTATCAGGACCAGACACCAAGGTCAGGGCTCACCGAGAGTACAGAAGTGACTTAAGGAAGTCAGGATGAACACTGCAACAGAGTGGCAGGCCATGTGTGAAAACCCACCAGGTGAAGTACAAAAAAAGGGAATATGGGTGTTGGGGAATCCGTGGCTTAAAAGCAGAACTGAGGCTAAGTGTCCTCTTGTTCCTAAATAGGGGTAAGGGGAGGAAATAGAGCCTCTATCTGGGGGTGGCACCATCTTAAAAAAATCATTGTGGGTGGACCAGCAGTTGCCACATCCTGTGTAGCTACACCCTGTGTAGCCCTTTCCACTGTGAACAGGACTGACTCATGGACACTAGTCTCCAATGGGACCTGCAGAAGTAACAAAGGTGACTTCCAAGACCAGGTAATACATAACACTGCCGCTTCTGCGGGGGTGGGGATGGGGTGGAGGCCAGCTACCATGCCAGGAGGATGCCCAAGCAGCCCTGAGGAGAGGCTCACATGGGAAGAGCTGAGGCCCCAGCCAAGAGCCAGCACCAACTTGCCATGAATGAGTGAATCACTTTGGACATGGACCTTCAACCCCAGTCAGGCCTTCAGATGAGACCACAGCCCCAGCTACCACTGGACGGTAGCCTCATGAGACCCAGAGCCAGAACCCAGCTGCACTCAAATTTCTGGCCCACCAAACTAAAGAGAGTTAATAATCAATTACTACTGTTTTAAACCAATATAAATTGAGTAACTTGTAAGACAGCAATAGTTAAGCCACACAATATTTTCATCAGGAAAAGCAAAGGGTGGGTGACCTGGGGTTGGAAGAGGGAAGATTCAGCCCATAGAAGAGAAGCACCCACCAGGAAGAACAGCACACCTTCTGATTTCTCTCATTATTTCGTTCATGTCCCAATGGTTCAACTGAGTCCTTAACCCTGAATGGATCCTAGTGACCATGGAAGACTCCCGCGGGCCACAGTGAAGATCTGTTTATGCCGTGCAGTTTCCAGGACCCTGAATAACTCTTGTGGAGGTAGAGACTCTTCAGAGCACGGTCGTGTGCTCCCTCAGCCTCAGAGACGCACTCATCCTCCCCCAAACAGTTCACTGCATGGGGGAGACAGCTCCAGTGAGGAGGGGGGCTCTCCTAGGCCCCTGTTCTTTCCAAGGACCCCCTAAACCCTCCCTACCAGGAAAGCCAGCAATGACTTGGGGACAGACGGGGTCCTGGCCAACACCCATCTGTGAAGGTCAAGCAGCTGTAAAGGTGGGGACCCTGAGGGACCTGGACGGAACTACAGGTCAGGTTAGGGAGAGCAGGAGGGCAGAGACTGCGAGGAGGAGCAGGATCCTCTCTCCTAGGGAGTGTTCCCTGGGAGTGTCCGCTCATCAGGAGGCAGTCTGCAGCTGCTGTGAAGGCAAGTCAGATGCCTTCACTCAGTCAGTCAACAACCCTCTGGGAGCATCTACTAGATACAGAAGAACAGACTGCAGGCTCCCAAGACAGTTCCATAGAAGGAGGCTTTTAGAGGCCCTTGAGTCTGCCACTCCTCCTGAGCAGGGTCCTTTTTCTTATTTGTTAGGGTCACGGTCACTCCAGCAACAGGGCCGTGGTGCTCGGGGTCTGACTGCTTTTCCAATCACCCTCCTATTTTGGGGAACTGAGAACCACAGATCCCACATCCTTCCTGGAAACCCTCAGACTCCAAGAGTTGCACAAAGTGTCCAAGTTATTCTCACTTTTTCAAAAAGACAAGAGAAATATCAGATTAGCAGGGCAGGAGTAGAGTGAGAAC